GGCTGGAGAGGTCATAGACTCTAGAGTAAATCTTATCTCTGTCATATCTCTAGACAAATGAAATTTCTTACTGCACGTTAAGTATGGATTCTTATATTTGCAGACAAGTATACTATCCACCACTCATCAAAGAAGCTTCTTTTTGCAACAGGTAGAGGGTAATACAGAGTTCCACTACTAGTCACCACAGAGAATATATATCTGAGAGATGTCCAGCCCTAAGTGACACATACACAGTGGAAACTCTATACCTAAGGCTCATGGAACATAGCAGAACAGGGGTACAGAGAATACTAATACATCCCTCAACTCTCACCAGTGAGGCTTCCTCATACAACAGAGCGCAATGCACACAGAAGGCCACAACTGACTAAGTTTTAGAAAACAAGAGATAGGACTCTTGATAGGACTCCTACATTAAACCTCACCAGCCCATGGCTCAGGGACAATTGGGGAAAAGGGAGTGGAAAGATTGTAAGAGCCAGAGTTGATGCATGAACATAAAGAAACAGAGGCTTTCAGGACACTGGGAACTTGTTCCTATGAACTTGCAACAATGTTTAAAACGTGCACAAGACCAATACAAACTCAGTCAGATAAAAACCCAGCAAAGAGCAAGGGAAATGGGCAGCAGGTGCCACCCCTAGTCTGGGAACTATTGGCAACTCATTACTGCTGGGTGAGGGAGGATACATCTTCCGTAAGAGAGTGACTCTAGATAAGTTGATTAAACTCCAGTGGATAAATTATATGGAAGGACATCTACGAACAAATTCTTGACTGGATAGGACTTAACATGTATGACAGAATGTGTGAAAACCAGTGGGGGAGCTATGGGGGACAGAGATGGGGGCTATGGGGGGTTTGAATTTGATTAAGATATACTATATGAAATGCACAAATACTCAAAAAAATATTTTTTAAAAGAAATAAAGTTGTATTAGACTCTACTATTTCTTATTGTTAATCAAGTTTTCACAATTCAATAACTAGAAAATTATCAAAAGTGAGAAATAACTAATGTATTTTGCTAATTCTGAAATATGTCTTGAATCAACTTCAAAACAAAATATAAGCTATTAATAATGGATACATGTCAAAGTGCTAAAATCCTTGAGAAGGAATAGGGCTGTCTAAAATGAAGTACTCTTTTTCTCTTGCTGTACTAATAGTAGAAACATTTTATAATGTAAACAAGGATATTTTGACTATCTCCTTAGAAATCCTTGAAATGCATGTACTAAACATGAGTTTATCACAAGGATATTTAATGTCTTCAGCTGTAATATATAATGGGCACCAAAATGATTTGGAAAATCAGATAATATTTAGTTACTCATAAATATTTATAAAGGTACTATGAAAATTTTCTATTATTTATAATATGGTTTAAAAGAGCCTTTTTTTCCTTCAAACATATTTCATGAGAATTTTGGCTGATCCCCAGTTTTCTTTGTAATTATTATTTCAATTAAGTATATTATGGAAAGGCAGTATGACATATCTTAACTTTTCCTGACATAAGGTAATTAAGCCATTTGGGACCCACAATTTCCTAAATCATAACTCTCAGTCAGCCTAATTTGATTTGGAATGATAACATATTTCTTTGCCTAATGCTTTACTGAGAAGAATCTTACAGTGAAAGACAGGTGATGAAAGTTCTCTTTTTTCAACATCTTCATAACTTGGTTGAATATGATAGATTAGCCAGCATATTGATTTAGGAATGATCAGCTGTATTACCTCCCCTAAAGGAATATTAAGATGATTTATAACAGGTTTACAACCTGATTTCTAGCTTCGTACGTAAATGTGTGCAAATACACAAGTTTGATTATCTTTCTTTAAATTTCTACCTTAGAAATTTTCTCATCTGCACAAAGAGAGGACACAACTTTGTAGTCCCCCATGACTGTCTGAAGGCTGAGAAAATTTTATGTTAATATCTATTTACGTGCAAACATATATAACAAAGAATAATGCTGTATAAAACATGTTAATTTCTTTGTCTAGATTAAAACATCATCCATAATATGATACCTTTAGATTTGCAAAGATACTTTAACTGTGTCTATATTTCCATACTTATCAAAAAGGTAATACTATGGACTTCTTAAAGTTTGGGTGAGATTAAATATGTTACTAAATGCAAAACATATAGATAGTGCCTGGCAAGTAAGTACTCAATAAATGTTTGCATATGGTATTATGTTTGTATAGTTTTGCAATTTAAAGTTTGCTTAGACAGATTATGGGCACAATGATCCCCTTCAAGAAGAAAATAAGTATGTGTTCAGTAATGGTCATATCTCTCAATTTCTTCTCATTATGTTTATTTTGGATTTCAGTCATTTGATACTGCATGAGTTCTTTGCCTATTACTTACTTATTTCACTTATTATATGATTTAAACTTCATCAGTTTTTTTAAAGGAAAATAAGTTCATGTACAAGTAAATGGTTTTGATGTAATTTTTTTACCAAATCTTAAGGTTTTTTAAAATAACAATTAAATGTAAATAGTTACAGCTTAAATAACTTCTTATTTTGTTGACAATAAGTACATGACACAACATGAAAGACTGCCTTACTGAAACACTGTCTTCAGATGAGTTAAGGGACACACCTATGGGATGATGGGTCCTTATCTCCATCAAAATGTAACCATGGTGCAACAAAGTAGGCATGTGTGACAAAGATAACCAGGCCCATGTAGTACGTTTTGGGAAACATTTATTTGGCACTAATCAAACAGTTGAAGTATTTTACTTTCTAAGAAATTAATTTCGCCACAAACCTAAAAATGTAGTTTTAAGGAAATAAAATAAAACTTCCCTATCTAAGAAACTTCCACCTTCATATAATAAACATAAAACATATCTGTTAAATTTTCATTTGAGATACAAGTCTTAGTGTAATAAGTACTTAGGAGTAACCAATCCCATATATATAACAATATAAAATGAATCCCCAGTTATTTATAGTTTTAAATACCAAAAGATCATTTTCTCACTGCAAAGCAGTGAAATATCCAGTGAGAAAATAGTACAAAGTTGGGTTTCTTCCGAGTGGAACTGCTCCTGTCCAGTCTTCCCTATGGGCTGTGTCTCTGTTTTCTGGATGCTCTTCCCTATACAGCATGCCCATCCTTCCATAAGGGCTCTGAGTGGAGCAAATGATCTCTTCAAATTTATTTTCCATATGATCTAGTTGTTGTGGATCAAATTTGGGGTCCCAGGAATGTGTAGATTCATAGGAATTTTAGGCATAACTTCTGGCTTCTTTGGTAATATAATCCCTTCAAGATCTTCATAGACATTGATTTAAAATATTTGTTATTATTTTTATTTTGTGTGTATGCGTATCTTGCCTGCATGTAGGTGAGTGCACCCGTGTTGTGCAATGCCTGCAGAGGACAGAAGAGGATGTCGGATCCCCTGGAACTGGAGTTTTGAACAGTTGTTAGCTGCCATGTGGATGCTGGGATTCCAACCCAGGTCTTCTGCAAGAACAGCCAGTGTTCTTAACTACTGAGCCATTTCTCCAGCCCCCGTAGACACTGATTTAATTCCTTCAGTCAGTCATACAAATCACCAGAGCTAAAGGCATGAAAACTCTTTTCAAGTCTACACACAGTATTCAGACCTGTCTTACTTGATTCATTTTCTTGTCTCTCTCTCATTCTTTCCACCCCCCTCTTCCTTCCCACTCATCTCTTTCATGTAAAATATGAAGTTGCTTTATTGATGAAATGCTTTAAGCTATCAAACATATTAAATCATAATTTCCCTGTCACTTCTTTCCTAACTGTAGAATTTGCCACGATGCTTCTGCAAGAGAAAGTACAATAAGACTCATTCTTCCTCCAAGCATGGTGGCTTGCAACTTTAATCCTAATACTTGGGAAGCAGAGGCAGGCAGATCTCAGGAGGCTAACCTGGTCTACAAAATTAGTTCTAGGCCAGCTGTGGCTATAAGGAAACCCTATCTCAAAAGAAAACAAAATAAAACAAACCAGAAGACTAATTATTCCTTGCTCAAAAAACACTTGCTGTGATTTTTGTGTATTTAATTGTATCTGAATAATAAATATCATATCATACTTCAATTTAAAATTTTTTATCAAGTTATTATTAATGCATTTTAAGACACTGAAAAGAAAGGTTTAAAAATTATTATATTTAGGGTCTGGTTACAATAAAATCAAATAAGCAGGTCATGAAGGTACACACATTTTATCCCAGCACTCAGGAGGCAGAGGCAGGTGGATCTCTGTGAGATGGAGGCCAGCCGGTCTACATAGTGAATTCCAAGCGAGCTGGGGCTACACGAAGACTTTGTCTCAAAAATATAAAAAAATAAAATAAAGCATAGTAAAGACAGCTTGTGTCTCTTGCATGATGTTCAAGAATGACTTGGAAGTTTGAAGGCTGAGGTGATACCAGGGCTGGGTGAAAAAATCCTCAGGAAGTCTCATGCTTGTATTTGATGATTAGTGGAAGATGATGATGGGTGCTACAACATCACCAGACTACTAGCCACAGAATGACAAAGCCCCTCCTTGGCCATTCTATGTAGAATGGTCTTTCTCATAGCAAGATAACTATTGTCTAAGTTAAGAATTCCAAGAGGGGCATGCACCATATTTTTATGCTCTAACCACTGTTGTCATATAGTAGAGCTTCCATCACAATTTTTGGTTGAAGTACTTATAAAGGTCTGATCAGATCCAAGCTTGAATATTGATCCCATTACTTGATAGGAGGAAGTATACAAGATGTATGATGTTCTTGCATCCAGCCATCTTGGAATACAAATTTCAGGAAAGTAGTTAACATCTAACAAACTACTTATTTCATGTTTATGCTACTATCCTTCTTGAATTAATTTTAACATGTTTAATTTCATGTGCATACTTATCAAATCAAGTTTATTAAAAATAATTTGCAGATTTCTGAAGAAAACCAATGTAATGGTATCAAATGTCAATGTTTGCAGATTTCCCGGCACAGAAGGAATCATTCACAGCATGTGCTGAAAGATGTCATTCCTCCACTGGAACAACCAGTAAGTGACTCATTTACTCTAGTACTCTACTCTTTGATCTACTATTGCAAAATAAGTTATCTGAAATTCAGTGACTTGAAACCACACACATAATTTTCATATATTTTGTCAAACTAGAATCTAGGCATGGTTTATTAGTGCCTAACTCAGTGATAGTTAAAGGTAAACAATCCAGCTATCACTCAGAACCTGATCATATCTCAAAGTTTGACTGAAGGAGTGTCAAATTCAATGACAAGGCTGGTTGGCAGGATTCACTTCTGTGGCAGTTGCCAAAGGCAGCTGTCTGACTTGGCTTTGTTCAGGCAGCTGTATGACAAAGTACTACATTCTGGGTGGCATATACATAGCAAAAACATATTCGTCATGGTTGTAGAGTCAAGGATGGTCCCGATGAGGCCCCCTTCCTGGGTTATAGTCTGCTGACTTCTTTTGTATTACCGCATTGTAGGAAAAGAATGAGAGAGCTCTCTGCGGGACTTTCATAAAAGCACTTTTCATAAAATCCCATTCATTAAGGTTCCCCACTTGTAATCTATTTGCTCCCCATCTCTTCATGCAGTCGTGTTGCAGGTTAAATGTCAATATATGAACTTTGAAGGAACACAAATATCAGTCTACACTGGTGTGGGGTCTCTCCCTTCCCTCGTGGGTCATTGGCCACGGGCCACGAGGACAAAGGGAGCAGAAGCGACGAACGGGGTCAGGGACAGCCAGTGAGCACTGATGGAAGAAAGCCCTTCCAGGGAGGCAGGTTCAGTGATACAAACAACTCCAGACTCAGTGAAACAGCTCTTGGGGGTTAGGGGAAATATAGTGTGGAGGCAGTAGCCAATGCTTCAGCTGATAGGTGCTCATAGTATGCTTTATTTACATGTGGCAGTAGGTGCCTATCATCCGACTAGACTATCGGGCAATGCTTAATTATCATATAGAAAAAACCTGGGGGTAGTTTTTACTCCAGGTAACTATGCCAAAGGTCAGGTTTTAAATGAGGCCAAGCATCCCTGCTTGGCAGCACTTTCCAGGTAAGTCAGGCAGGAAGCCCCTGCTGAGAAAGGAGCCTACCTTAACAGCAGGGTTCCCCAACACACTGATATCACTCCTGACTCCAAACCTTCCTTGGCCCCCATTCTCCCCAGGGTAGAAGTTGGAAAGCATCCAGTAGTTCCCAAGTCTTCAAGGTCTAGAGACCTTATGACCCCACCTTCTGGATTTTTCTGCTCTGACTTCACTGGTTCATCCTCCACACAGTCTTTCCATTTGTTCATTCCTGTTTCTAATAAATGGTAATTTATTGGTGGTCAGTTATATGTCTCATTCCTTTGTCTACTGTCTTTGTTTTCACCTTTTAAAGTAAGTATTTCACTGGTAAGATGGCTCATTGGTGCTTACTGCCAGGATTGAAAATTTGAGTTCAATAATTGGAACCCACATATTAGAAGTCAGAACACACTCTTCCTGAATGTTGTCCTCTGACCCCCACCCATGTGCCATGGCATGTGCATGCACACATGTATACACACATACATGATAAACAAACAAACAAACATAAATAAATAAATGTAAACATTTATGTAGGTCTTATTTACCTACTTCATCAAACACTCCACATTCTTTTAATTTATGAGTTAGTCTATTGGAATGCTTGTCTGTAAGGGCAGAGGCACTACTTTCTATGTTCACTTTTCTACCTGTGATTCTAGTGATTGTGAGAACATGGAAGATTTCTGTAAACATACTTAAATGCATTGTACAATCAAAAGCTAATGACTTTTGTCTGTGGTGACAAAAGTTTTATGAACAGATCTTTTAGTTCAATACTTTCTTAATCTTCACGTAATAGTCGTTTGTTCTGAGAGTTCTTTCTCAGTGACGTCACAGAATTAAAGTCTTCTAAAATTATCCCATCAGCTGTAATTCCCCAAACTGCTTCCCCTTATCTTTAGGCCATCCCCCGCCCATAGTAGCAAACAGCTCTAGGCTTAAATGCTTTTACTTTGAATGCTTTGTTATCCTTAGGATTCTTTACATAGCCATCTTCTGTGTGCATGTGCGTTTGTGTGTGTGTGTGTGTGTGTGTGTGTGTCTGCATGTAAGCACATGCATAAGAATGTATGTACACACATATGCACGTGAGTTTGCAAGTGTGCATGTTTGTGGTGTGCAAGAAACATTGACTGAGACATCTTCTTAGCCCCAACAGGGCCAATTTTTGAAGTAGTTTCTGCTCAGTGGTCTGATGCTCATGAGTCTCTCTTTCCATTCAGATCATCTTGGCCTTTAAATGTTTTTGATACCACTTTGGATAGTCACTGTACCCTCCTACAGACCATGGGCAGTGGTTCATGATTAGCCTACTTTAAAACAATACTTGCATTATTTCATTTTGCTTATCAAAACTTTCCAGCTTCCTTTCTCCTACAGTATCAAGTCTGTAGACCTCTCTCATGGCCCCTGATTTATGTTATTTATTATCCACTCCCAAATCCATACCCTCAAGGCAGGAATAGTAGCATGATTGAAATGTGGCTTTTAGCTTGAAGGTACTTAGATTTTCTGTAGCAATTATGGTCCTTTCATCCAAGCACATGCTCATATACTGATTTATGCTGTCCACTGTTATTTCATGGGTAATAGACTCGTTCCATGGCTGAACTGTAAATGCCTTGAAGTGAGAGGCCGTGACTTGTGCTTTCTTTGTTATGACACACTACTTCCACTTATATTGCTTTGAGCATTAGTGTTTGTTCAGGAAAGATATGTCCATCAACTGAAGTAACAATAATGTATTAAAAGTTTATGAAAACATTGTTGATTGCAGATATTAATAAATATGTTTGCTATTCAAAATGAACTTAAATACTTTTAATATTGTGATTATATATACTGACAATTTGTTTTCAAAATGATCACTTTTTTCATACAGAACAATTCATTTTCAATGCAATTGACATTAAGATGTTTGCACATGCGTTTCTAATCTCTATATATCTGAGTATTACTATTCACAGTCGGTTACTTTCTGAGCTCCTTGGCATCTGAGCATGGATATAAATTCGTCAGGTAGATTTCAATGCTAATGTTTTTCACATCTACTAATTTTTAAGGAGCAAATTTTTATGCTTTGAAGAGTTTTTTAAATTATTTTTTTATTTTTATAACTACATGATTAGAAGAAACATTTCACTACAGCTTTAACATATTCAGCGACACATTCCAGAGCAAGAGTACATCTCTTTCACAAGGGGAGGGGTGCAAGTATCTAGGTTCACAGTTGAGTTAATACAGTTATACAATATTGAACTCAGTATAGGCCCTGTAAAGGCCCTGTAAGACATAAAATTGAGTGAGGTTTTAACCTTTAAAAAAGATCTCCATTTCATTTTAGAATATATTGTTCCTTGCAAAAAGACTCATTGTTTTTGCTACTAACACTGAGATGTTGGCGCATGCATCTCTAATCTGTATGTACCTGATTATTACTAGTCCTAATCGGTTGCACTTGGATCCTTGGCGCCTGTGTATGTCTATAAAGTCACCGGGTGGATTTCAGTGGTAATATTTATCACCTCTACTAATTAGCATGACATATTTTCATGCTTCCTCTTCAAATATAACACATTTTTTAAAATTTGTTGATTGTTGTGTGTGTGTGTGTGTGTGTGTGTGTGTGTGTGTATTACAC